TAGGTTTGTATCATACGAATGTTTGTCCTTTGCCTTTCACAAACTCTCTTAGTTTGTGGATATTTAAGAGGAACTATGACAGAACTACTGCTTTGAAGAAAATTATAAAACTATTTATTCAAGTTTCATATGTTTTAAGGTAAAAAGATTACATCATTACATAGACTTAAACTCTCAGCAATTTTGGGGGCAACCCCAACCAAGTTGGTCAGACTGTTGACTTGGCCTTCTTGGTTTGAGCCGGTCAACTTTGGGCAACCTAGGCTGGTTTACCTTCTTGTCGGCTAGGGTCACAAGGCGGGGTTTACCCATGTATACCTGTAGGTTTCCCTTGTCATTCAAAAAACTCTCTATCTGAAAAGTGTTTCAGTAGATTGGAATCTTGCAAGAAAGAAAGTGTGGTAGATGTGTGAGTCAGGAGAATAGTTAGGCCTATTAAAAACAATATTTAGTGTAATAGTGCCCTGGTGTAGAGGGTTATATAATGTTTTTTTTTTTTCTTCACAATTTGAGTTAAACTTGTATACCCCATGTTTATGCATCAGTTGGCACCAATGTTGGAGACATTGCATTGTGGGAAGTTGGTTCACGGGAGAAGCTGGTTTTACGGAACTTCAAGGTTTGGGACTTGAGTGCATGTTCAATGCCCTTGCAGGTGCGGTGTTTTTTCATAAAACTGAAACAATACTATTATTATTTATGTAAAACCCGAATCAGTTCAAATTTATCTTTTGAATCTGAAACATCAATCTTCCTTCCTGAATTCAGACGGCTCTAGTAAAAGATCCAGGTGTCTCTGTTAATTGCATAACTTGGAGCCCAGATGGCTCGTTATTTGGTAAGCTTGGGGTGAATTACAGGCTACTTAGTACACGTTTACAATGAAGTGGACTCTGAGATATTCTGCCGCTATCTTTTTGCAGGAGTTGCATATTCGAGGCATATTGTACAAATATATTCATATCATGGGAATGATGATGTGCGCCAACATTTGGAGGTACTATACTCATGCTGCCTCTTTACCCATTATATACTCCTGCCCAATTTTGTTTGTCACACTTTCCATTTTGAGAAATCCCAATAACTGTCACTTCTGAGAAATTTACTACCGTACATGACAGGACAAACTTCACAAAATGGAGATTTTTTAAATTTTTTTTAATATTCTGAAATTGGGATCGATTAATATTTGATACAGATTGATGCTCATGTTGGTGGTGTAAATGATCTCGCATTTTCTCATCCTAATAAGCAACTCTGTGTGATTACCTGTGGAGATGACAAGACCATTAAGGTTAGACAGAAAAATGTGTTTTTCCTAATCCTAGCAGCAAATAATTCATGGATATATTGCTAATGTTTCTGGTTTTTGGTGATCTATAGGTCTGGGATGCAACAAATGGTGCAAAACAATATACATTTGAAGGTCACGAGGCTCCGGTCTATTCTGTGTGCCCCCACCATAAGGAGAATGTTCAGGTAAGAATCGTATTTCTTCCTTCAAAGACTGATTGATACTTTCCCCTAATACCAAATCTCCTTTCTGTCTCAGTTTATCTTTTCAACGGCATTAGATGGAAAGATAAAGGCATGGTTATATGATAATATGGGATCCCGAGTAGACTACGATGCTCCTGGTCGCTGGTGCACAACAATGGCATACAGTGCTGATGGCACAAGGTTGATTCTTTCGACACCATGTATTATTGCTACTCTGCACATATTTTTTTGTATAAGTTCCTAACATCTCACATTTCCTTCCACTTAGACTTTTCTCGTGTGGAACTAGCAAAGATGGGGAGTCGCACATTGTCGAGTGGAATGAAAGCGAAGGAGCTGTTAAGAGGACATATCAAGGTTTTCGAAAACGGTCATTTGGTGTTGTGCAATTCGATACCACCAAAAACAGGTATTTGGCAGCCGGTGACGATTTCTCCATAAAATTTTGGGATATGGACAGTGTGCAAATGTTGACCAGCATTGATGCAGATGGAGGGCTCCCGGTAGGTTTATATATTTAAGGTTGACTCGCTCTCTGATCTCCAATGTGGTATTTTGCTAAGTCTTTGATTTTCTTTGTTATAATCAAGGCAAGCCCTCGAATCCGATTCAACAAGGATGGAACTCTATTGGCGGTTTCTGCTAATGAGAACGGAATCAAGGTTTTGGCAAACACTGATGGTATTCGCTTGCTGCGCACATTTGAAAACCTTGCTTATGATGCCGCTGCTAGAGCGTCAGAATCTGCCAGCAAGGTATGGTTTTTTATACGTTAAAATCTATTTTAACGGGAATCTCGCTATCATTCTACAAACTCAACTTTAGATGCTTTCTACTTGTTGTATATGCAGCCTTCGGTAAACCCAATCTCTGTAGCATCAGCTAGTAATGCTGGATTTGCGGAAAGGGTAGCCTCTGTTGTTGGTACCTCTGTAATGGTTTGTATTATGCTTTCGTTCTCTTTCCTTGGGCCGTCGTCTAAATATCTTTGACCATAACATATAAACAAACGTAATATCTTTTTTATTTTTTTTTTTTTGGGTGTCAGAATGGGGATGCAAGAAATAATGTGGGAGATGTAAAACCAAGAATAACTGAAGAAACTAATGACAAATCAAAGGTTTGGAAGCTCACTGAAATTACTGAACCTTCTCATTGCCGGGCATTGAAGCTTCCCGAGAATTTACGAGTTACCAAGGTATACTGTTTGCACGACTAAGAATTACTGCGGATTATTTCCCCACTCTTCCAGTTAGTATAAATCTTTCCAAGAATTTTCTTTTAATACCAAACAGTATGCTAGCTAGCTATATGACGTTGAATTCTGCATCTTGATTTACTATGAAATTTAACAGATATCGAGGTTAATATATACAAATTCAGGCAGCGCTTTATTAGCACTAGCGTCAAATGCCATTCATCTGCTATGGAAATGGCAACGGGGTGAGCGTAATTCAAGTGGCAAGGTAGGATAGAAGCAAATGAAGTGGTTTCGTTTTTACCCGCAATTTTGGATTTGAATGGTTATTATCTATTATACTGTAGGCAACGGCCAATATGCCACCTCAATTGTGGCAGCCTTCGAGTGGCATCTTGATGACAAACGATGTGGCTGACAAAAACCCGGAGGATGCTGTCCCGTGTTTCGCTTTGTCTAAAAATGACTCTTACGTCATGTCTGCATCAGGAGGAAAGATATCCCTTTTCAACATGATGACGTTCAAGGTCACAAATCATTTATGTTTGACGTTCAAACGGCTCTCTGTTTTTGGTTGTGCATTCATTTATGTTTGACTCTCAAATTCTTATGGAATGCAGACAATGACGACTTTCATGCCTCCCCCACCAGCAGCAACGTTCCTTGCGTTCCATCCTCAAGATAACAATATCATTGCTATTGGCATGGATGATTCTACAATTCAAATATATAATGTTCGCGTGGATGAGGTATCATACAAATACTTAAATTCTTTTAGTATCTCTCGTCTTTTTTATCTTCAACTCCCTCAATCTATTGTGCATAATAGGTGAAAAGCAAACTAAAAGGGCACTCTAAAAGAATCACTGGCCTCGCCTTCTCCCATGTACTTAACGTGCTGGTTTCATCGGGAGCTGATGCACAGGTAGGAATGTTTAGAGATTGGATTTATGATTTTCGATTTCATGTGGCTTTAACCTCTACATTGATGATTGATTGCTTCAAGCTTTTCGTGTGGAGTTCCGATGGGTGGGAAAAGCAAAAGTCCAAGTTCCTACCGCTTCCAGCCGGGAGAGCGTCTGTACAGTCGGACACGAGAGTACAGTTTCATCAAGATCAAATCCATTTTTTGGTTGTTCATGAGACTCAGCTCGCTATATACGAAGCCACAAAGTTGGAATGCGTTAAGCAGGTAAGCTTGGTTCTTCCTCTAATGAACTATTCCAGACGTTCGTTATCTAGACCAACATAACTTGTTCTTTTCAGTGGGTCCAACGCGAGGCTGCTGCTCCAATATCTCACGCGACATTTTCGTGCGATAGCCAGCTGGTATACGCCAGTTTCTTAGATGCAACTGTTTGCGTTTTCACTGCTGCAAACCTGTGTCTAAGATGCCGCATTGCTCCTTCAGCTTACCTTTCCCCTAGTCTCAGGTACTTTGGGGATCAAATTTAATAGTATAATACACTTCCAGCGATCAAATTTTCCTAAAAAAACGTTGCTTTGTTGTTTCTCCTTAATCAGCAGTTCGGGTGTCCATCCACTCGTGGTGGCTGCCCATCCACAAGATCCAAACCAGTTTGCGTTAGGGCTATCAGATGGCGGCGTTCTTGTGTTTGAGCCGCTGGAATCAGAGGGCAAATGGGGCGTGCCTCCCCCGGTTGAAAACGGATCGGGAAGCAACACAACTCCAGTCTCTGATCAACCTCCAAGATAATAATCAAAATAAGTTATGAAAAGTTTGATGTACATACTTGCTTGGCTGGCTGGGTGCAACAGCAGCAGATACTTTAGTTCTAATCTGCCTGCCTGCCTGCTTGCATTTGCTTGTTGTAGGAGACTAACCTGCTGATCTCTCAGTCAAAAACTTGGAACCACCAACTCACCAACCTTCCTTAAATGGTTTCCAAAATAATGAAATATGACTCTGCATTTTGGTACTCAACCTTTGATATAGATGATCATCCAATGCCTTCAATTTCAAGTTTAAATTTTATCTCAACACTCATTGTCCACTGACTTCATCTCAACCTTGTTTTTTTTTTTTTTATGCAATCCAGAATTTTCATCACTGGAAATTTAAAATTACTCCATAATTCCATCTCATCCTTTCCATTCTTCATTCCCCTCACCCCCTACAACAATATATTTAATACAAATAATATAAACTGGGTTTGTATTTTACAAAGTTGTATGTTATGTTTTGTTAGAAATACAAGATACTGACAAAAAGCATAAAGTAAACATATGATACTGACAAAATTTTACTAGTAGCAACTCCATGTTATTATTTTTAACTTGCTAAAAACACAAGTAATAAACAGCAAACATCATACCATAATGATGGGAAATATGTACAGAGGGAAATAGTGATGAGTTGAGAGACTGCAATCCATACTCCATGCCATGGAAGCTTTTATCTACCTTCTTTTTCATATGAGTTCCCATACAAAAGAGAGCTTCACATCCAGCATGGAACCAAACAGAACAGAACAGACTATTACTGGTCTATGTACAGCAGCTTCTCAATGCTGAGCTGAGCAGATAATTTAACGTTCCCATCTTGACGTATCATTCGGGCCTATAATTCACCAGATTCGGGAGGTCGGTGGACTGGAGTTTCTTGATGTCGTTTGCAGTCACCTTACACGACTCCAGTGTAAGCGACTTCAGTTTCTTGAGTGGCTTCAGATGTTGCAACCCCGCACTCGTAATGCGAGAGTTTGATACATTAAGAGACACCAGCGATGTCAGCCCTGTACCGACATGGACCATAGTAGTCGTAATGAGTTCTAAATACAAACACAACTTGCAGTTCAAAGAGTTGCACACTATAGATAATATGATGCCCCTTGTATATCGATAATATTCGGTTCTTTGTGCAGGAGTACCAAGCTATTGATAATAACGTACCGGAAATTGCTTCCAAGCTTTTATCTGTGAGGTGACTGTTCTGTGAAAGATTTAGCAAATTGAGGGCCGTAAGATCTTTGATGTTTTTCACGCCAGCATCAGTCAAGCCTCCACCGCAAATTTCCAGAGATCGCAGGTTCTTGAAATCTATATCAGCAATAATGACAAAAATATGAGAGGATAAGCAGTCGGCACTTGTTTATTGTTATAATCTAAGATTCGGCTAAGGTCATTCAACTGGGCTATAATGCACATAGGCTAAAACACACTAAAAGACTGAATCCAATCAATTAGCTAGTCTAACCCATGGCATTACAAACCCTACTCTTAAACCTCCTCCCCCTTTCGAAACAAAGGCTCTGGTTGCCACCATACCATGGGTAGACGGCCAAACCACACTAAAAGACTTAATCCAATCAATTAACTAGTCTAACCCATGACCTTATAAACTCATATGTTCTCTCTTATTATATTTTCAATGCGAGACTCATTTATAATACTCCGTATGTAAACAAACAAAATAAAGCGGCAGATTATTTCCTGAAACTAATTCAGGCACACGGGGTGTGCACACACAAACATTTGATAAAGGAAAATCACGCGTTAAAATTTTCGTTTAGAGTTACTGATAACATACGCTTTAAATAGTTTGTCCCGGAATCAGTAATACGAGCTCCAAAGAGATCCAAATGCATTAAACCAGTCAAACCTGCACATATCATTGCAAAAATCTGAATCACTAATGACGACATAAATTAGCGTAGACACGGAGGAGGCAGCAATCTCGAAAAATGCTTACTCGTAAGAGCGGCAAGTCCGGCATCAGTAATCTGGCGAGCATCCAAATTAAGTGATCTCAGTGATGACAACCCCCTTAACTTTCTCAACCCATTGTCCGTTATAACAGTGAACGACAGGTTCAAACTCTCCAAATGGCTTAACCCTACAGGATACATAGCACATATTTCAATAAAAAAGAAGAATTAGTACAACTGGCAAGTCTGAAAATGGATAAGATCACTAGTTATAATGGCGTCAGACATTATTATATCAGGACTTGCATCCGAAGTGGCTTATTTTGCAATTATAAGGAAACAGCGCAAACCTGCGAGATATTGAAGTCCACTGCTTCCAACTTCAGTATCAGATAACTCTAAACACTTTAAACGTTGAAGACCTGAACTTAGACATTATACAAAAACTGAATCAGTGCACCCAGAAAAACATGGGAATTTAAATAAATAAAAAAAAAAAAAACTTGAAAGAATGCAGAGGCCTAAAGTTTGTGTCAAGGCAACCTTATGATCAAGGGGTATGGCTTGAGAATGCACTTCAATTTGAGATTAAATTTTTATCGAACTTCAAAAAGGTTAATTAAAAAAAAGAAGTGTAATTAGAAAAATGAAAAATGTATGGTAAACTCTATAAATTGCTTGACTTTCCGATTAGGAGTATAAAGTTATTTAATTATAAAAGCCAGGCAAGGAAGTCCTAATAACAATAACAGGTGCCAAATTACCAGCCAAATGGACCAGTCCTTCGTCTCCAATTGCACATGAATCCAAGTTTAAGGTCTCCAAATTCGTTAAACCTGCTTGAACCAAGACATGAAATTGTCACTGAATATTACAAAGTCGAAAAATCAAATTTCAAAAGAAAAACAAATGCACTTCACCTTTAACGTTAGTCAAAGTACAAACGCATACTATATTAAGTGTAATGTCAAATGACATTCAGCGAAAATGACCATTGCAAGTAGAAGTCCCATTCCAATCCCACCCAAACCTTTCTTCAGTGAGTCACAGAAAAATAGCATTCGTGGAATAGTTTAAAGTTTATTAGATTGAGTTTGTAACACATCTAACTCATGAGCTGGGGGGGCATTTCCACATCAATCAGAATAACCAAAGGAGAAATTCACCTTTGAGGTGTACGAAAATGGCATCTGAAATTGCATTGAATCCCAAATTCAACACTTTCAAACTCTTTAGGCCTACAGAAAACATCATAAGAAACGGTCATCTTTAGCTCCTACTTTTCAAATGATAAAGTTCTACGCTAAGATATTTTGAAGAACTTTAGTAGCATATTACAATGTATAAGTCTAACTCACTTGAAAACTTATCACATCCATCATCGGTCAAACGACATCTGCTAAGGTTCAAATATAAGAGGGCACCAAGGGCTGCATAAACAGCAAAGCGGGCATTAAAAGAATTGAGGCTCAGTTAAGAAATATATCTAGATAACATAGCACCGCCACACCAATAAAATGAACTCCAGGTTTCATATACTCGAGAAAAATCATCTCCTCTCAACAATATAATAATAGAACTGCAAAATTAAAAATAAATAAATATCACGCTTCTCAAGCACCAACTTGTACCTTAGCCACTGGGAGTGAAAACAGTCTTATCTTAAAATGAGTACCTGAAAGAGACTCCAAGCACGCTGCAGTAATGGGGCAACCTTCCATGTTCAACAGAGCAAGTTTGTGCAAAGCTGTTAGGCACAGAAAGAAAGACACAGGAAAACTAACCAATGAGAAAGTCCCCGATAGAAACACTAACTTTATGAACATCACGGTTCATTTCTAGGTAAGACCGAGGATGGTGAAGTTGGAATTCTCAGATTATTAATCAGATGTATTAACATATTTCCAGGTAAACAAGAAAGGATCAGCTCAATCAATACATTCCCCATCAAGTTCTCAAATGTCCCATTAACTTGGTGGACAGTTTATATGGTATTATAGTTCAGCGTGCAAATAATACCAAAAATACCAAAAATGGAAGTTAAACATTTACCATACACTTATCTCGCTCCCATTAGCATGAAAATTGAATATTATATACTTCAATTTACAATCTATCTCCTTAAAATATGCCTAATGCAACAATTACAAAGAATCGTTTCCTCAATTACTTCATTTCTAAGAATAAATAGAGCTACCATCATAAGAGAATTCAGCATGACACAATCCAGTAATCTGTGTACCTCTCAGAAAAGTAACACCATAATCTGTCACCTTGCTGGATGAGAGTTGTAAAATTTTCAAATTTGTAAGACCTGAAATTGGGGCAAGACACGGATAAATTCTGAATCAGAAGAAATTTACATATAGTACTGATATAAAAAGCAATACGAGTACTTTTTACATTTTTCCAAAATTGCTTTTGTTATCACAGCTCTGATAAACACACAATGGTATATACTGTTCATAAATAAAACTAATAAGCATATAGAATATTGTGCAAAATTATGTATATATACATAAATATATCAACAAGTCCTTCAACACCTATTCCAGATCCAAATGACAGTCAATCATTAGTTAAAAACTAAAAACTGCTCCATATGTCTCATGGACTTCCTTTCCTCTGTTTTGCTCTAAGACTCTATGATGTGTACTTCCCTCTTCTTTTTTTAAGTGACAAGTGAAAAAAGAAAGCAGCGGGGAATTAATTAAATAACAATACAGGAATGAGATACCAGTAAGAGGCTTCATATCAGAATCCGTGATGCAATTGCAACAGTTGACATTCAGAGATTCAAGTTTGGTTAGGCCTGCCAAAAGATGAGGTATGATACGTTTTAGATATTTTGTTGACATCAGTCAATTTTTCTGTAGATATCCTATAATGCAAATAGGAACTTCCCTGTATTCTATATAACATTAAAACTTAACAAAATTGGATGAATCATGAATTAAGAGTAGCAAGTATTAAAATTTATTATTAAGCTTATTATAAACATGTACAGTATTTTCTATCCATGCTTGATGCTTGTTTAAATTGATCTCTAGATTTTTATTTCATTTTAGATGTTTTAATCAAGAATTTTCGTCTGACTATAACAACAGGTTAGTTGAACAAGAATAATACATCAATACAGAGAAGGACGAACAAACCTCTAAGGTGAATGAGCCCTCCATGGATCTTAGGGCATCTCTCCAGGTCCAATTTCACCAAATTGATTAAGCCAGATAGAGCATCCATTCCCTGAGCTGTAATCATGGTGTTTCTTCTAAAACTTAGACTCGTCAAGTTTGAAAAACCTGAAAAGTTGGACCAAATGTTCCAATCAGACACCCATAGTTTCTTACCCATAAAAGTAAAAATGACAAAGGAAAGAAAATAAATTTTCCGCCTCACTTCTCTCTCTATTTCTCCCTCTTTTGATTTAGGAAGTGCCCTTTTCTTAACTTTTCTTTTACAGCCCATTTAGTTCGTTGGAAAATATTTGAAGGGAAATGGAATTGAAATTCCATGGAAAATAAATTCCAAGAAAATGGATTCCATTGTTTGGTTGGTGGAAAATAAATTACTGGGAAAATAAATTCCATTGTTTGGTTGGATTTGGAATTGTAAGTGCTGTCAGCAACTAATTTGTGCTACTGCACATCCAGCACGAGGAACATACCACTAACATGCTCCAGTCCATGGTCTGTAATTTGGTCACAATAGTTAAAATTTAGTGCTTGCAGATTTTTGCAATCTTTTAGCTGCACTATTCCAGAATCAGTGATATCGGAAGCAGAAAGATCCACGGATAGCAGGGAAGAACCCTGTGAAGAGATTACATCCATCCAAGTATCATCAAGGCAAGGATATTCTCCCAAATTAAGATCCTGCCAAGAAAATTTAGCAAAAATCAAGAATGTCAGAGTCTAACCAAAACCAACAGATACAATTAAGGTACACAATATCCTAATCCAGCAGTTTTAGCTCTACAAATATGAATACAAGATACCTGAAGAGCACAATCTCGAAATGCTTCAAGAATGACTTTAGTAAGACGTTGTGAACAAACCAATTCATCAAAGATTTGTTGACTTATGTCCCTTGGCAGCATAGAGAAGGTGCTATATTTGTCAATGTCCTGTCATACCAAGAAAGAGAACCTCTGTTCACGCACAGAAATCAGTTTCATGTTGATTAAAGCACTAACGAGGGAAACGTACTTGACAAATTTGATAGATGCACAATTCCATGAGAGAAGGGCAATTTCCATTTCCATGCCTAGGATCTATAGATGACCGCGAAAGTGAACTTCCTAGCCATTTTGAACTACCACTCTTGCAATATCGTCCTGAAACTCCTCTATGTATGCTGTCATCCTCAGCCAGTTGGTCTCGCTTTCTAGAACAAACTCCCCCCATCTGAGACACTGTTGTTGATTCACATTTGCAGATCACAGGTGGAATAGTACATTTGGCTGTTAAATTTTTAAGGCAGACATTCTACAGAGCCTGCACAGCACAAATATCAAGAATCCAGTGTTATATTTCCTCAAGGAATTCTCTCTAATGTGTTGGCAACTGAAAGATCAAAACACTGTCAAAACAGTGCGCTTCCAAGTAAAATATAATGGATGTACACTCTCTATAAAGAAAGAAAATCTTAACTATGTAGCAACAACTGTAAGCATATGCACATCTCTCATTAAATACAGAACGAATTTAGAATAAACGAAAAAAAAAAACAAGTGTGCCTGTGTGATAGAGACAGAGAAAGGGTTTTAACATAACAGGGGATTCAGGGCTGCTTGTACCCTTCCTGGATTTATGGCAGTTCATTTCGAAACAAAATCGGATGAATTTCCTCCTAAGTTAATGGTAAATCATTTCACTGTGGGCCAGATTCCATCATTTGACTGGGAGTTGATCTTGAAAATTTTATGAAAAGCCCAGTATGCTCTCCAGTTTAATCAATTAAGACTAAAACATCTTTGAAGAAAAAGATTAAAAAGAAATTTAAAAAAAAAAAAAATTTCTCAGACTCTTATCTCTCTTTCTCTAGCTCCTCTCCAAATCTCCTGCACTCGAACAGAAATTACTGCACCATCAGAAAGTGCTAATCATTGCCCTCACCACCATATCTTAGTGGCAAAATGTTATTCCTTACTTCTCATTTTCATTTTAGTAAAAAATACTTTCCTGTTTTGGGCATTTTTCAATGGAATCTGGCAACCAGCTATGGGGTAAACACCAGGAAGATGATTTTTGTCCAAAAACTATGAAGGTTGATTTTAATCAACCATAAAAGCTCGAAAACTAATGACTTCATTCCATTTGCAATATTCAGAAAAAAAAAAAAACTAAAAAAAAAAACTAAAAACAAATTGGAAAACTTACACTAAACCTCTGTTGCTTCGTAATCCGAATATCACAACTACAACTTTCAGATCAATGAACAAAGTACACCTTATTCTTATCTTTAGATGACAGACTATTGTTAAAGACTTCAGAAAAATTCAAAAAAAAAAAAAAAACCATCTTTTTCATACAAGGGGGGACCATCTTTAGCTTTGATAACAAAAAGGATGTTTCTCACCCTCTCCATCTCTCAATCACCTTTTGCCTTTTCTTAACTATAAGGCAAATTGAAAGAATGGGTGCATAAATTTTCAATTAAAAATTACTAGAAAAATACAATCTTTACTAGTGATTACATTTCCATTACAAATAAAACAAATTAAAATGAAAAAAAAAAAAAAAAAAACAAACAAATACGGAAGGAATTGATTTCCCACTTCATATAAAGGACTCTATTCGAAATCAAAGGTAATATAAAAATAAATATAAATATAAACAGAAACAGAAGCAGTATAACAGTGTAATGTATCAACTCGTGTACTCAAACTACAAATACGAGTACGATAATAAATCGATTACAATCAATAAAATTAAGGAAAACCTGAACCTTCAACTCTGGAAAACTGAACGATCAATTTGTTTAAAGTCTGGAGAGAGAGAGAGGGAGAAGTGGAAAGTTTCAGAAGGAAGTGGAGACGATGAAGAGGCAGAAGTACAAGTCTGAGAAGCCGAAGCAGAGGTGGAAGCAACGGATGAGCGCCACGTGGGAGAAAAGAGGCTCGGAGTAGGGTGGTTTGGGAAGTGAGATAATTTAGGGGAGTGGGATGGGGCCCACTTTAATGGGCCTTCTTTTTTAAACCCGACTTTATCCATTGGCTCTGAAAATCTGATATTTTGTGGGGCCCATCTTGGATGATGATCTACGCAATGTTTATTTAATTAAGAATTTAATTATATTAATTCATGTGCTAATGATAAGCCTTTGGATTTTGTAATGGATCTTAGTCTTTGTTTTTTGTTTTTTGGTTTTTTTTTTCTGTTTTTTTTTTTTTTTTTCTGTTCCTTTAAAAGGTTTTATAATACATTAAATATGGTAAAGAATCCGGCTAGGGATGACAACGGGGCGGGGGCGGGGAGTATACTTCCTGTCCTCGGCGGGGAATTGAAAATACTCCCCATTCCCGTCTCCGCGGGAATTAAGCGGGAGCGGGAATTTCCCATTCTCCATCAACTTCTAGTCAAAATGTTAAATAATTGTAAATTTTAATAATAAAAAAATTTAAAATTTAACTTCTGTTTCAATAAATAAATAAATAAATAAATATATATATATATATATATATATATATATATATATATATATATATATATATATATATATATGCACTCAGGTGCGAATAAGTGTGCAGGAAGGAATATGCGAACGAATCAGCACGTGACATGTGTCTAGATCTAAAGATCTAATAGCTTAAAAAAATATGGTGGCATTCTCGTAAATAATTGAACATCGAAGTGCAAGTAAAATCACTTACAAGTGCACCTACTTTCACCTATAAGTGGATGTAATTTTGTCTTGCTAACATTCACTTCCCGCAAACATTCATACACCTGAGTGCACCTACTTATAACTATGGTGCAACTATTTATAACTATAGGTGCAACTACTTATAACTATAGGTGCACCTATTTTCACCTATAAGTGGATGTAATTTTGCCTTGTTAACATTCATTGATCTAAGTTCAGCGGGTAGTAATACCCTTGAAAATCACCCGCAAACATTCATGCACCTAGGTGCAAGTACTTATAACTATTTGTGCAACTACTTAGAACTATAGGTGCAACTACTTATAACTATAGGTGCACTTTGTATTGATGCTCAGTGTAAATTTTTACTTGCACCTATAGTATATTTTACATGCACTTGTATTACATTTTACTTGCACTTCAATGTTCAATTATTTACGAAAATGTCATCGCGCTTTTTTTTAAAAAATCAGTGTTTCTCATCCATTAGATCTGGACACGTGGATGGACATAATCGATTCTTATTTCGCGCCTGGGCGAAGCATTCGCACCTGAGTGCGATTATATATATATATATATATATATATATATATATATATATATATATATATATATATATATATATATATATATATATATATATATATATATATATATATATATATATATATATATGCGGGTTCAGGTGCGACAATGTCTTACGGTGCGACAACACCAATAGTTCACCAAATATGCACCATCAACGTTAGGAAATACACCACACAAAACAGAGTAAACAGAGCCCTGCATCACCAAACACACACCATTAGGTGTGAGTAAAAACACCATACACTGTTCAGAAATACACCATTGGGGGTGGTGAGTTATATGGTGTGTTTTTTTGAGTCTGTGGTGTATTTTGTGATGTTTTATTACATTTCATTGGGGTGTGTTTTTATTACACTATTGGTGCATATTGTTAACACTGTTGGTGTATTTTGGAATTTGACCGCACCGCCGCACCGTAAGACCCGCCGCCGCATATGAGCGCTCTTTTATATATATATATATATATATATATATATATATATATATATATATATATAAAATAAATATAGATATATATAATTATTCAGGGACGGGGAGGGGTATCTCCATTCCCGTCCCCGTCCCCGTCCCCGACGAGGAATTACATATATTCCCCGTCCCCATCCCCGTTCCCCGAAAAATTTTCTATCCCCGTCTCTATTGAGACGGGGAACGGGGATTCCCGTCGAGTATGGGGCACATTGCCATCTCCAAATCTGACTTAATCAAGCAAGGTTTTGGATTAAGATCATAATAATTTACTCCCACGTCACTATTAATCATGTCTTAAGAAAGATATAATATTGGTTAGCAAACACTATATATACTTTGTACAAACCCTAAGATGGAGCTGAAGATATCATTCCTTATTAATAAATGTTTAAAAGCTATTATTAAGTATGTCGAGAATGCTATATTAATGTGACCTTTTTATTAGTGAATAAAACTTTATATTTATTATACTTATAAAAAATAAAATTGATGTGAGTTATAAATATGATGATTTTAATTAATGGACTAGACACATCACAAACTAGATGAAAAGGGGCGAAACACGAACATGATAAACTATAATAAGGTCATTGGACCACGAAAAACTCTTTCAGACTAGAAATAAATTATAAAAGCATCACACTAAGTACATGTGATGCCTAAGTGGACTATTACAAAGCTATATAGGTTTGATAATTCATGTTTCATATTCGTTTTCATGTAGTATAACATAAGGTATTAACTGGTTAGACACATATATAAACACGACTTGTTAAGCTTAATGGATCAAGAATGCATATATGAAGGCACGATAAATTAATGAGTTTTGAATTTTGGGAATTGACATGATACAAAATGACACGCTAACACATTATCCTTTTTAATTAACTTTTTTTTTTTAAATTGAAATTTACCCATTTATCTAGTAGTTGCATTATAAATTACATACAATATATTATTGTAATACACCATTCTTTCAACCTATATTATTTTAATATAAATGTTCTTAAAAATAAAATTATTTTGATAACCAATAGTTATTTTAGTATTTATGATTGAGTTACCACAAATGGTCCTCCGACTATTGGGGTAGTACTCCTTTTAGTCATTGACTTTCAATTCGACCAGGACATTTACCTCGACTTTCATTTTTTATCACAAATAGTCATCCGTTAATCTTTCTGTTAAGTGAGTGTTAAATTTAACCTTCATTCCTTTCATTAAACTTTTCGGCTTCGTCCACAATGTTGACATCAAAATAGTGTATATGTGTACTTTGTAAGGAGTAAAAATGCCGTATCTTATAGCCTACTACTAATGGTGGTGCTTCTAACAACATTTTCCTCTCTCCTTGACGTTGTAAAAATTTCTCTCATGCATTCCATTGAGATACAACCATCTCTGTTCACTCAGAAGTGCTCAACAAGATTTTCCACATATAAAGAGGGAAATTATGGATTAAGGGAGCAATTCACATGAAGCTTGAGCAAGAAGGGAGAAATCAAAAATGTTTGGTGAATCATGGCACATCCTCCTTACCAGGACTATGTGGTCTAATGGTACCCAGGTTGGACTTCCATTTGGAAGATTATGAGTTCGAGCCTCAATGGAGGCGTTATTGGTTCTTTGTGTTTCAGTAGGTTGAGAAAGTATATGAACAGATACTACAATGTAATAGAGCCAATAACTTTCAAAAAAGGCACATCCTCCTTTATAATTATTGTTGGACTACAACGATGTAAGGCACATCCTCCTTTATAATTATTGTCGGACTACAACGACTTTGTCTGCGTTGAACCGTAATTATCGGAGGGCGTTGTAAGGCACATCCTCCTTTATAATTATTGTCGGACTACAACGACTTTGTCTGCGTTGAACCGTAATTATCGGAGGACTTCGTTGCCCTCCCGTAGAAGTCGAGGGAGCAAACTCCAGCTTATGATTCGGAGAAGTTTCTACCACGCCACGCGATGACGATGTCGCAGCGGCCCAACTGTCGGATCTCAACCTTGTTACGTTGGTGGCGAGGGCGACATAGCACGTCTAGTTGGCGTGTTGGCTGCATATTCTGTTCACGCAGATTTCTTCCTTCTTCTACATACATTTCTTCATCTTCTTCATGTTCCAGTATAAGCTTGGAAATTACTCTTACAAAGCATATGGGTCTTTGCAACACGGTAGATATTAAGAGTAATCATATATAAATTAAAGCATTGTCATAATACTTAGCTTAAATTGATGAGGTTGTGTCGCATTGGACAACCAACAGCGACTCTGAGGTAATGACGTTGGAGTTGGCAATCAAGGAAGACAACACAGTCTCTATTTTGATCAACACATCCCATCATTTTCCCAAGCGTATACTGGAACGTGAAGAAGATGAAGAAATGTACGTAGAAGAAGGAAGAAAGACTAACGGATTTGACGATACCCTTAAATTTAACACTCACTTAACAGAAAGACTAACGAAAGACTGTTTTGTGGTAAAAAATGAAAGTCGAGGTATGTGTTTTGGTCGAATTGAAAGTCAATGACTAAGAGGAGTATTACTCCAATAGTCAGAGGACCATTTGTGGTATTAACTCTTTATGATTTAAAAAAATTATTTTACCACAAAAACCTAAATAAAACTACTTTGACAACCTTAAATATCTTAGCCTTAATATTTTCAAAACAAATT